CAACCACTTTTAGCCTCATATCTCCCGCACCCTTATAGCTATCGAGACGCAACCACCCCTATGCACGAATGGAGACTTGGGGCTACCACCACATACAAACACCATTCACGTGCGATGTGTAGTTTTGGCGAAAAAGTGAAATATAGGGACATACATGTCCATTTTTATATATATACTAGCTGCAAGGACCCGCTTCGCTGGGTTTTTATTTGTTCGTACATTTGTATGTAATATAGTTTTTTATATATATAAAAGACTGTTTTATAAGTAATCTAGAATCTAGCTGCAAGGACCCGCTTCTTTGGGTTTTTAAAAAGTAACGATAGTGAAGATTAAGATAATTACATTATAGCCAATCTTACCTGTTTTCACAGAATGCAAGAATTAGGTCCCCCGTTTCCAGTCTAATTAGAGACCCGGTCCTGATTCGATTTCTGAACGTCTCCTGTTCACCTCAAGTCAAACGAACTATTTTCAATGTTTCTGGAATGAATTAAATTCGAACAAATTCGAACAAAACGTTCATGTAAAAGTTCACGTCACACCTTATACCTTGTGAAGGCACACCGGTTGCGGAACACTGGGCTAAACTATAAATTTTATTAAGAAAATATATATTACTGGCCAAACCCGATTTCAGACGAAACGGGTTTATCTTACACGTGTCAGGATATACTAGTTTAGCCCAGGACAAACTAGTTTGACCTAAATACTTTAGACTTAACCTTTTCTGTCCATTTGATTTTCTCCATTCTTCGCCATAACCACATTTCATATGCTTCACGGTAGTTTGTTTCCTTTTTCCTTAAGGTCCAAGTCTCTGCTCCATATAAAGTTATGCTCCAGGAAAAGCATTTTATTAACTTCTTTTTAAGTGTTTGGTTCATTTTTTCAATAAGAAGGTTGTTGTTCTTATAAAAAGCCATTTTTCCAGCCCTGATTCGTTCTTTGACTTCTTTTTTACATCTGCCATCTCCCTGAATAATGCTGCCAAGATACCTAAAATGTTCAACTTGCTCTATTTTGTTCCATCAATTAGGATTTTCAAATCTTTGCTAATTAGTCTTCCAACTTTCATCACTTTTGTTTTAGCTGTGTGAATTTTCATTCCAAATTTTTTGCAAGTTTTGTTGAGTTTTGTTACCAAATATTGTAGAGTTTGTACATTTGGTGCAAGTAAAGCAATATCATCTGCAAACTTAATACTTTGTATTAATTGTCCTCCAATTTTAATTCCGAGACTGTCTTCACTTATGGCTTCCTTCATTAATTCCTCAAGATAAATGTTAAAAAGAGTAGGTGAAAGTGTACACCCTTGCCTGACTCCTTTTCCAATAGTGCATGGTTTGCTTTCTCCAGTTTTTGTTCAGATAATGGCAGATTGATTCATATAAAGTGAAGCAATGAGTCTTCTATCTCTCCAGTCTGTTCCTATTTTTCTTAAGATTTCCATTAGCTTTGTCCAGTTAATTAACCATATCAAAAGCCTTTTCCGTGTCAATAAAGCAAATGTACATATCCTTATTAACCTCAATGTTTCTTTCACAGATTGTTCTCAAGTGGCCAATGGCATCCCTTGTTCCTTTTCCTTTTCTGAATCCAAATTGTTCTTCACATAGAAATGTTTCAGCCTNTCAGTTTTGGGAGTATTCTGAATATTTTATATAATTATTCACAATTCTTTTCAAACTTTCGTTAGACATTAGGGTGCGACTATGCAGACGCGAATTTAGAGCGAGCGAGAGGTTGTGAGTGATTTAGTTTTTGCAAAGGAAAACCATGCACAAACGAGAAGCAAGAAATAACGCTGGTGAGAGATAATTTCTGGTTCTCGCACGTATATGACAGGTTTTGATATTTATCGCTTCTCGCCTCTTCTCGCCACATATTCTTGTTCACTCGGAAAATTCGCTCGCTCGCGCCTGCACAGTCGCACCCTTAGAGTTATGTTAGGCTTATGTTAGAGTTAGGGATAGCCCCGCGCCCCGACCGTACCAGTCTCCCTTCTGTTTTAGTGAGTCTGCATGCAACAATGCCAATTAGCAGCTCTAATAGCCGTCCGTTCGAACGGGGATAGGTTCTAGATTAGGGAGAAATTCGAAACCCCGCCGGAGTCGCCCTTTACCAGAGAACGACAATTAGACAGCAAGCGTTTAAAGGCTTGGTACACAGACCCAAAGCCTATGTTGTACTGACACCCCTGGAACCTTTGGCTCGAGTCTTAAGACTCCACTAACGATCGAGACCAAGACAAGTCTTTTGGGACCCAGTACCCGTCGTCTCTCTCCGCCTGGCCCCCTGCCACGTCCAGGCTCGGTTTTTTACGGGGGGGGTTGGACCTAAGTCTCATAAGGTAACTCTTTTCCTGCCTTGCCTAATGGCATCACAGGGATCAAAGAGACTATGCCTTGTTCATCGACTGGTCGGTACCTGACGCAATAGACAGGGACGACATAGCGTGGCCCTATGATACTTCCTTCGGGCTCCTGTCTGTACCCCAGCCCAGCTCTCTAACATGGCATTACTTTTGTAGTGTGCAGCCTGTACTGCACTAATGGTCCACTATACTAAACCTTTTTCCAGCTCATAATGTACATAGTATGCAGGCATTTGATAAAATAGGATATACGGACAGCGGGGCCCCCGTCTCTACAAGAGGGGACCCAGAACAGCTTTCACCAAACCTATAGATCAAGGAGATCTATGATTTTTCCCATCAATTCCTTTAGTTTCATTAAGTTTTCTTTACTATCTGCTAGCGTTCAAAGTACTTGTTCAGGGGGCTTAGACCAGTCAACTTGGTTTTCCCCTAGGCGGAAGTCCCTTGTGAGGGGACAGTCAAGTACGTAATGCCTTGCGTCGCCACGAGGACTACCACAGGGGCAGCTACCATCTCCTTGTCCGAACTTGGACTTGAAGTGGGGGAACCTCCCGTGGCCAGTTAGGATTTGAGTCGACAACGAGCAACAACTTACCGGAGTGAGGCCAACTACAGGCACGAAGGTGTAGGTTGGCCTACCTACTGTACTTAGAGTCCAGCGCTCTCGCCAATTTGTCATCGATTTTTGCAGTAGAGTACTTTTTATGTATGTAGTCGAGGGATCAACCATCCTCGTAACAAATGGGCCACTGGCTCCCGCTTTTGCCAGCTGATCGGCCCGTTCGTTGCCCAGGACACCGGTGTGGCCTCTTACCCACCACAGGGTAACGTGTCGCGCGTGCCTTGCCCTCAGTACCCTACCTCTGATCTCATGTACCAATGGGTCACGATGGTACCCGTCGCTCAATGCCTGTAACGACGACTGGCTATCCGAGTAAACCGTGACCGGCTCCGGACCCAGATGTAGTAGGATCCACTGGGACGCCCCCTCTAGGGCCACCAGTTCCGCCTGGAACACGGTCGCTTCCTCGTTCAATCTCACCGATCTACAGTACACTTCAACTCCGTCAGAGTCGACGCAGTATGCGGCGCCTACCAAGCTGCCGTCCTTTGAGCCATCAGTGTATATTTCAACACCTGTACTAGTCGGTTCACCGACTTCTCAATTTAGTCCAATCCTAAGCGCAGGATGGATCTTAAGTACGTCTGTCTGACGCCTAAGTCTGATCGGGTACTTCTGATTACAATGCATGGTTTCTCTACCTTCCACTGTTGTTCTGTAGAAGGCTGCCTTTTGGCTGGCGACCAGAGGCAAAGAGAGCAGCCCGGCCAAGACCAGGGCCGCATCTGTCAACACAGTTCTGTATGCACGCGTGATCCGCAGGGCAGCGGGACGCTGGATTGTGAGTAATGTCTTACTCTGACTAACGTTGGTGGTGTCTTTCCACCAAACGCCATAGGCATAGCAGATAGCACGCTCCACACTCATCTTGTAGACGGTGCGAGGCGCTTTTCCACTTAGCCCGTAATCCTGCCTAGCTAGTCGTGAAAGTGCCGCTATCATTCAATTTGCTCTGACTCGAACATCCCTCAGGTGGGGAGTCCAGCATAGTGTCTGCTCGATGATTACATCGAGGTACTTTAACTCATTCACCCTTTGGATGGGGTTGCCCCGGATTCGGTAGCTAGGCCGTCGTGCCAACACTCCGCTCCGGGCCACCGTCAGGGCCTCTGATTTCTCAGGGCTAAAGGAGAGCTTATGCAGCTCCCCCAGCAAATGAGCTGTTCTATTGCTTCGTTGCCACGAACCTCCATGTCGCGTCTGCTGTATCCTGCAACTACTAACAATAGGTCGTCGGCATAAGCCTGCATTTGGACTCGGTCCGGAAGGACCAGCCGCAACGCCGTGTCTGCTAGAACGTTCCACAACAGGGGACCAATACAGGAACCCTGTGGACAACCCCTTTCAAGCATCTTCTCATACCTTCCACCTGGTGTCTCGTAGACAACTGAGCGGTCTCTCAGGAAACTCCTGGAAAGTGATACAAGGGTGGTCGGCAGGTTCGCCTTCCTCAGCTCGCCCACAATGGATGGCCACCAAACATTGTCGAATNCGCAAATCAGAGATAACAAAACTACTTTAGCGACCACTCCACCAGCAATGCAGCTAAATCTAACATAAGCTTTTTAATAACTGTTATAACGTTTAATTGTGCAAAGTTATCACGAGTTGTTCGAAAACCACACAGATTACATACGACTAATATGTTTTATTTACAATAGTCTATTTACAAAAAAAAAGTCTATTTACAAAAAAATTTACAATCTATTTACAAAACCAGGAGGAACACAAAACTGTGCACGAAATTAGCAATGTTCTACACATATCACCGATAATTGTCTCTTGCATAATTAAAGTGCATCGGGAGACTAATTCCTTGTCTACAAAGAAGTTGCCGGGTTCACCCACGAGTATGACTGCACAAGATGATGCTCAGCTGACGATAGGGTCCGTCCGTGTCCTTACTCTGGGAGAGGGTTAGTATCCTGACCAATAGCCAGCTAAGTTCGCGACCTTATTCAGGTTATCAGGCATACTTGCCACAACAGTTTCACAAAGTATGCCTGATCGTAGGTTCTCCCAACGACCTTGGACGACTTGCCAAAGGTCGCTGGGAGTCGACGCCTGAATAGGTTCGCGAACTAGCTCGCTCCAGATGTTTTCTATTGGGTTTATATCAACCCCTCTCCCAGGCCACCGCATGTCCTGCACCTGAGAATGCGCTTGTATCCAGTCCGTCGTTATTTTGGCTGTATGGACCGGGGAGCGGTCATGGATGAACCAGAATGGCTCTTCGCCGTACAGGGCCGCTACCGATGGTACCAGCACGTCTTCCAAAATTTCGACGTACTGTACGGCGTTCAGGTTTCTGTCGACCATGACCAACTCTCCCAGCCCTGCGGCACTCATCCAACCCCAGACACCTGCAAACTGAAAAGTCCACATTCAGGTTGTTCTGTATAACACATGAACATTCTGGTTTAAAACAACAAATTAATAGCCTGCAAGGCTCATGACAAATACGCAAATTATGAATACTCACATAACGAAAATCGACCGCTTCGTTGGGTACGCCACACGTATTGTTCGTCGTACCGTGTGGAAGGCGGGCGACGCACCCAAACGGTCCTGGTACTGTCGGAGCAGAAGACCTTCTCGTCCGAAAAGATGACAGCCGACCACTGGTCGGCTGTCATCTTTTCATATATTTTGAACAATATGGATTCTAAAAATCTAAAACTCCATGTCCAATAGATGTGGTCTTCTGCAAACCGGAGCCGGTCAAGTTTATTGGCTGGGGTCAGGTTTTGTTTTTGTACCGCTCTTCTTCCAAACAACTTGTTTTCTCTCAACCTATTAATGAGATAAATATATATGTAATATCCTGCTTTCGACATTTTTGTATATGCAAGAACATGTTACTAATGTATTCGAAGGACTTGTGACTACTATCATACAAATGTTACATACCGTCTTTTGACAGTGTCCTTTGACACATTCAGGTGCAGTTGCTCTCGGAGCATGGTGGAGGTAGCGAACGGATCCGCCCGACTGGTCGACGCCAGCTGAGCATCTTGTTCTGCAGTCGTACTCCTGGGTCGGCCCGTCGACTTCTTTGGAGACAGGGAATTCGTCTCTCGATACAGCTTAATTATTCGAGAGACAGTTCTCGGTGATATGTGAAGAATGTTGCAAATTTCAGCGACAGTTTTGTGTTCCTGGTTATGACGTATTACTAACTCTCTGATATCCTTACTAACAGGTTTCGGCATTGCAAACGAATTACGCCAGGACGGTTGCAACGCCTTTATATACTTGTCGCACCGGATATGAATGCGACTGTAATGGTAGGTAGGTGCGGACCTACAAATTACCATGTCTGCATGCAGAATACCGATTAATCGGCATTATATCCTGGAATATTTGGAATATATCGTGGAATAGAAATATTTGTGATATATCGTGGAATACAAGTAAATGGAATATATTGTGGCATACAAATATTCCACGATATAATTAATCGGTATTCTGCATGCAGACATGGTAATTTGTAGGTCCGCACCAATCTACCATTACAGGCGC